AGGGGCTCCTTGAATGGGCGGCAGCCGAACGTTCGTGGCGACGTGCAATCCGCTGCCCTCTCTCGCGAGAAGCGCGAAGCTTGTTCTCGGCGTCAGCCGATTTTTTTGGCGAGCATCACTTGCCAGCGACCCCCCCTTCCCTTCGCGCGGCCGAGCGATTCCTGCCAATTGGAACTAGTTGCGCTCTTATCTCGCGCGGAGCGCGAGATGCTCCTACACGGGTGCCATTTGGCTCGGTGCCAGCCCAGGTATTTTGTGAACTACAACAACCAAGGGGGCCATGGCGCAAGTCTGGAAAGCGCTGGGCCAACCTAGGCGCAAGGGTCTGCGAGGACCCGGGGCCGGCAAATCGCACGGTTTCCCGCAGGTCGCACCGGGCCCGCAAACCCGACAAGCAGCCACATGGGCCCCACAGGCCCCACAGGTCGCACAAGCCCCACGGGACCTATACGTCGCAACAGCCCCACGGTCCCCACATGTCGCACAAGCCCCACGGGCCCCCACTTATCCCACAAGACCCGCAGACCGCGGCGCGCGTGGGTCGGGGGCCCAGGCGCGCGCGGCCAGGCACCCGTGGCGCGCGAGGCTCGGGGCCTGCGACGCTCTGAACCGACCGAAGCTCAAGGGGCTCGCGGAGCTCGGGATCGACGAGGCTGCACGGTCTGCGAGGGCACGCCCTCGCTAGGCGCCACCAGTAATGCACGCGGGCGGGCGCGCCATGGCGCCCGCGGCGTGCGCGGGCGGGCGCGGCCGAGCACCCGCTGCCCGCGCGCGCGGGCGCAGCCAGGTACTTGCGGCCCGCGGGCGCGCGCAGCCAGGCGCGCGCGCGCAATGCACGGGCGGGCGCGACCAGGCACCCGCGGACCGCGTGGGCGGGCGCAGGCAGGCACCCGCGGCAGATGCGCCAGGGCGCGCCCGGGCGCGCATAGGCGGTGCTGCGGGTGGCCGCAGCCACCCGCACGGTTCCCACGCGGACCCCCGCGCCCCCCCCCCCGGTGGCTCGACGCAGCCGCCCGCCCCGCAGGGCGGGTGGTGGGGGGGAAACAGCTGTCAGGGCTCCCCCGGACACTCGGAGGTTTTTTCTAAAGTGCGTCCTAGTGCTCGAGCACGGCAAGCGTAGACGCGAAAATGACTTGTGCGTTTTCTCGAAAGTGTGCCCGCGTTCGAAATCGCATTCTGCCTTTGCGGGCATGAGTGTCTCGGCGAGCGAGGTGGACTTTTGTTTTCCGGGCATGAGTGTCTCGGCGAGCGAGGTGGACTTTGTTTTTCTTCGACGTCGCAGCTTCGGAAGAAAAATGAAACGTACGTCGCAGTTTCGGAGGAAAAATGAAACGTACGTCGCAGTTTCGAGCCCAAATGGCGACGTCGCAGTTTCGGCCTCAAAAAAAAAGTTGGGCGCGCGAGGTGTCTCGAGTGCCCTGAGGGGCTTTTTTTCCTGTGCGCGGAATGTCCGGCGCCACGAGAATGCATTTTACTCCTATGCGTTGCGCGACGAAGCCCTCTCGAGACTCCTGTGGTCCCCCCGCCCAGGGCGTTCGAACGCGCGCGGACAAAAGCGCCCTCTCGTTGGCCGCGACAGGCCGCAGGAGGCCGCACGAGGCCGCGCGCCCGTGCGCGATGCCAACTGCACCGCCGTCCCTCCGCTTCGCGCGCTGCACGCCAGCGGAGTATGCGCGACCCGCAGCGCCTCCTCGGCCGGCGTCAACACGGGGTCTCCAGCCAGTTCGCGCGCCCCCTGGCGAACCAGTCGAACCCGCCTTCCACGGGGCCGCCTCGCTCGCGGCTGCCCCGATGCGGGGGCGTGCTTTCGACTGCGCGCGACCGAAGCACAGCTCCTGGACACCGAACCATCACGCCGCCATGGGTCCAGAAAAGAAGCGTGGGAGTGCTCTCGCTCGCGGCGCGCGCGCCTCGCCGTGCCTTCACGCGCGCCAAGCCGTCTACGCAGTTCGCGCTGTCGTTGCCATTGGCCGCGCGCTCGAGGCCACCCGCGCGGCGCGCGGCATCTTCGGCGCATTTTCCAGGCGATGCGCGGCTTGAACGCGTCGCGGCGACGCCCAGAAGTCGCCGCGCGCGCGCCGCCGCGCGCGCGCGACTGCGCGTCGCGCATTTCGCCGCGCGGTCGGCTTAGGACAACAGCGCGCTAAGTCGAACATGAGAATTGAACGCGCGCCAAATGCCAATGTCAGCCCCCAGACCCGCGAGGAGAACTCTTGATTTGGGAACCGCGGACCTCGCTGCGCGGTCGACGCCGCGCGCGCGTAGCTCCCCGTGCAGGATTGAAAACGCCTCGCGCCCAGCTGACGTCCAGGATCGCAAACCTGGGCGCCGGTTGTGCTTCCAAGCCAAGTTGGCAACTTGACCGCGCCGACAACGCAGCGCTTGCCATGGAAACGGCGCCAAGCGCGTTGCACCGTGCCTCTCTTGGCGAAACTGCGAAAACACACACACTTAAAGTTGCGAGTCGGGGCCGCGCTCGTTAAAGGCGTACTTCGGTTACCAGACAACCGAACTTCTTCATTCCTGCGAGGCAGACCTTGTCATGCACGCGCCGCGACGCGCGCCCTCTGTGCACTGGGCACCTCGTGTACATGTGGAAACCGCGCTTAAGTTGGCATCGGGACGGACGACAGTCACTACATGGAACCATTCAGCTTTCAAAGCAATATGGCTCGATGAGTCTGTACGGCTATGTACAGGATGGCCGTGCGAGCCAGTGCACGCGCGAAGATCAACAATAGCTTTCTTGCGCGCCAATGCAAAACGCTAGTTATTATGACAGCGTGGCGACTTATGCGTTCCCACCCAGTGAAGACACCGGCGCGCGCGCACCGCCCACGTCCTGCGCGCTCGGTGCATCCAAAGGGGGCGCAAAAACGTCATGCTAAATTCTCAAAGACTTTTGGGCGCGAGAATGTAAGATTTAAGTTCCCGCGCAAAGGTGGCGACTTCTGCGCTTCCACTGTGCACGAGCCTGCCACGCAGGCGCGCTGATGCGCGCGCGGGCGACGCGCGTCACGCCCGAAAGCCGCGTGGCGACCGCTAAAGGTCTAATCTAGTTTCCAATCCACCATTGCCGCGCCCTCATTTCCAAAATTCAAGATCCAACGCGCGAGCGGCCAAGTTCCCAGACAAAATAAGGACATCAAAAACCTATGCATGTTCCGCCCCTTTCGCTGGCAACAGCCTTCCGAGGCTTCACGATGGCTCCAAGATGGACCAAGAGAGCCCCTGGTGTCCCCAGAAGGACCCCGGAAATCTCCAAGACGGTCCCCCCAAGCGCCCGGGAGCGTCCCAAGAGCGCCCCAAGAGGGCCCGGATGGCTTGCGGGGCTCGAGAGGTGTGGGGGCAGGCTAATTAAAACACGTCCCTCTGGCTGATCGATGTCATTCAAGATGGCCCCAAACGTGCCTCCAAAGCCCCGAAGAGGATACTGATTTTCGCCCGTGACTTGACGGGTGCCGCTTTCTCTCTGTTGTTGAGGGCCATGAACCAAAGCAACTGAGGGCACCGCACAACGCGATCAGACTCGGGAGCAAAACAAACAAAAACAAGGCCAGCCACACAACGCCATCGAAATCATCTTGACAAGCAAGCGCTTGCGCTATGTACATTGAAGACGCGCTCGAACCGGACACAGCAAACCGAACCTCTGGCTGTCTGCCACCAGGGAGGGGTCATCCGACTGATGTTTATTGCCAGCCCTGTGCTGACAACAACGCGTTCAGCTTGCCAAGCACCGTCTACGGATGTTGAAACAACAAAATCTATATTCGGCCCCCTCCAAAGCAGAAAAAAACAATGGAAGCGAGAATTTACTGTGCGACGGCATGACTCTTTTCGCCTACAAGTGTCCTAGCCAGTTCGCATATGTTAAAATGAATTGCATAAAATACAGATGCGTGTGCACGTCGACGCCGTACCAAAGTTGCGATTTGAGCTGCGTGTCCCAAAAAGCGATTGGGACCTTTTGGTAATACCACCCAAAAGTCGCCCCTGCCATTACCCAGGCATGAGGGCCCAATAGACAGGGGCGGACGCAGCCCCCCAGATGAAGCCAAGGAAAAATGCACACGTCCGAGCGATGCCAAGGAAGAGCACCCTGAGCGCCAGCAGCTCCTCCCGGCGGCCGCGGGAGGGTCACCGCGCAGCGCGCGGAGCGAAGAGAAAAGGCCCAGGGCAGCCTGGCGAAAAGGGAACACGCTGGAGTACCATGTGGGACCTGCTCTGGGAAGAGAGCGTGCAGCAGACGGATCTGCCCTCTCTCCGGCCGTGCACTGCGCCGAACGCAGCGGCCGCGCTGTCCATAGACGTACCCACCCCGAAAGTGTCTATGGACGTCACGGCACCCAATGTGGTCATAGACACTTTTGGCTAGGACTAGGCTTGGCCCTCCAAAGGAGATGGGTTCTTGATGCGCGCCCCCACTGTAGACGCACGCACACTCGAAAGCCAGCAGCCTCGACCTTTCTCGCGGCGGCGGACGTGTTTGCGCCACGATCTGCCGTCGCCCCGCCTGGAAGAATGCTGGCCGACATCGCCGCGGGCGGCGGCGGTCCATGCTCGGGCGGGTGATGATTGGGGGTGGCCCACGGGGGGAGTGAAAAGAAAGACCCCAAAGGGGCCCTGTAGGGGCCCTTTTGGGCACCAGCTGGCTGCAAAAGGGGCCCTGTGGGGCCCCTTCAGGGCGCTGTTCACCACCCCCCATGTGGGCCACCCCCCCTTTGTCGGGGGCGGGCAAGCATGGATGAGCGATCCATGGATTTGGCGCGCGGTCGCGAAATCCATGGATCGGGGGAGGTGCCCTCCCCAAAATGCGGCTGGTGCCGCCTCGCTCGGCGGCGGAAATGGGCGAGTGTCCGTGGAAAGGAAACCCGTCGCTATTCCACGCCCCCTTAATCCATATTTGCGATCGCCTGACATTACCACCCGCCCGACATGCTTCAGCAGCACCCCCCCCCAGCAAAGCAGGCTGCCCAGGGGCCGGCTGAGCCCGGCGCTCGCTGGCCTCGGCGGGGCCTTGCGGGCGGCAGTGGGGGGAGCGGGGGAGCAAACGCGTATAGTGTGTGTGTGTGTGTGTTGTGTTGTGTGTTGTGTGTTGTGTGTTGTGAGTTGTGTGTGTGTGTGTTGCGTGTCGTGTGTTGTGTGTTGTGTGTTGCGTGTCGGATGTCGGGTGTCGTGTGTGCTGTGTGTCGCGTGTCGCGTGTCGTGTGTCGTGTGTCGTGTGTCGTGTGTCGTGTGGTGTGTATGTGGCGTGTGTGTTCTGTGTTGTGTGTTGTGTGTTGTGTGCTGAGTGTTGTGTGTTGTGTATCGCATGTCGTGTGTCGTGTGTTGTGTGTCGTGTTGTGTGTTGTGTGTTGTGTGGTGTGTGGTGTGGGTTGTGTGTTGTGCTTTGTGCTTGTGAATGTGCTAGTGTGCTTGTGTTTGTTCTCTCTCGTCACGATCAGACCCTCGATGATGGAAAACGGCCAGCCTACCGACTGATGAGAAGGGGGACCCTGTATGGGGGAAACGTAAGACTAGGGTTCGGGGGACTCGGGTTGGCCCGACGGGGCCATCATGCAAATGACGAGACCCCATCGCAAGTTCGACGCGAGCTCCCGCGGCAAACATCCCACGAAGACTGGAACGTCAAAAAATCCATGACGCGCTCGTCAACGCCGTCGGCAAATCCGAGCTCCAGGCGAACTCGAGTCTTACGCTTCCCCAGCCGCAGCGCCAGAACGTACGGGACGGAAACAGGCACAATGCAGGGCTGACCTTAAACGATGTTCTTCGCTTTCGTTTTGGTTTCGCTTTCCCTCGCTCTCGTCTCGAAACCGCCTCTACCGCAAAACGAAGTCGAAACGAACACGGCCCGCGAAATCACCAAAAACACCTTTTAGGCCCAGCCCTGGCAGCAGGGAGGGCGGCGTCGGCAGCAGGCGGAGCGAGCAGCGCGGGCAGCGAGAACCGCACCGATGACGGGCCAGCGGCGCGCCGCTGCCGCGGAGGAGCCGCCCCGCTCTCGGGCAGAACAATGCCGACGGAGGGCCGCACGCCGACGTGCTCCCGGCGGCGGCGTGGCGCGTCGACCCTCCCGAGGGAGCCCTGGTCGTCGCCCAGGGCGTCTGCGAAATCGCCGTCGTCGGCCACGATTCGTCGGAAGCACCGTGAAGGTCAGAATGCGTCGAAATCGTAGTCGTCCTTGTCGCCGCCGCCGCCGTCGTCGTCGTAATCGACGTAATCGTCGTCGTCGGCGTCGTCGTCGTCGTCGTCGGCGTCGTCGTCTTCGTTGTCGTTCTCGTCGTCGTCGTCGTCGGCGTAGTCGTCGTAGTCGTAATCGATGTCATCGTCGTCGTCGCGACACTCCGACCTCCAGGCCTGAAAGGTTCTCGGGAGCTTGTTGAAAAGGGCGGGCGGACATCCCGGCGGGGCTCCTCTTCCTCCTCCTCCTCCTCCTCATCATCATCATCGGCCTCAACCTCAACCTCATCCCCCTCCTCCTCCTCCTCCTCCTCCTCCTCCTCCTCCTCCGCTGCCGCCTCCGCCTCCCTCTTCCTCCTCCTCCTCCTCCTCCTCCTCCTCCTCCTCCTCCTCCTCCTCCTCCCCCCATATCCCAACGGGTTTTCCTCCCCCTCTTTACTACTCCCGCCACAGCAAGAGTTCCGTGGGGGGTGGGGGGCTGGATGAGGACGAGGAGGGCGTCGAGGAGGACGAGGAGCAGTGGGGGGGGGGGGTGGGGCGAGAAGAAGGAGCAGCAGGAGGGCGATGGATGGGGGAGTGGGGGACGAGCGTAAGAGGGGAGCTCCAGTCCACCCCCGCCTTCCCCCGCGGCTGGCGGGTGCACCTGGGGAGGGCGGGGCGCGCCGGGCAAGCAGAGGCCGCCCGCGGCGAGGCCGACGCCGCAGTTGAAGACGTCGGGCGTGGCAGGAGGACGATGGACGGGGGAGTGGGAGGCGGAGGGGGGAGAGGAGGGGGGAGACAGACCAGGCGCGCCCGTGCCAGCTCTGGCATCTCACCCTATCCGCCCATCCTTCCCGTTGCGCGTTCGTTCCCATCTGCCGGCTGGTGTGTCTGTCCCAGATGGCAGTGGTCCGCGAATAGCCCAGGGGTTGTACCCTGGACGGCGAGGAGAAAGAGGACGCGGAGGAGGAGGAGGAGGAGGAGGAGGAGGAGGAGGAGGAGGAGGAGCGAACGTACCCTGGCGGGGACGTCAGTTCGCGCCTAGCCACGGGGCGGCGCCGCCGCGCGACCCGCGCCACCGCTCAGGTCAGGAGGAGGAGGAGGAGGAGGAGGAGGAGGAGGAGGAGGAGGAGGAGGAGGAGGAGGGGAGAGAAGAACTTCAAGCGCCCAAGAAGCAGAGTCCCAATTGTGAAACGTGATTTCTAACAGCACTGTTTCCACTTGGTTCGCGTCTCATGGAGCATACCGCCAGCAAAGGACGTGGCCGATGAGCAGGATGATCAGGAGGAACAACAGGATAATGAGGAAGGAGGAGGAGCATCAGCATGAACATTAAGAAGGAGAAGGAGCAGGAGGACCTGGGGAAGACGGAGGATGAATAATTATCCTGGCGAAGGACCCAACCATATGCAGTTGTAGGTACCGCAATTGTGAAGATCTTCTTCGGTGAAGCTCCCTATGGGGCCACGAAGCGCTGCACCGGGTGGGGGGACAGCATGCGGACGGTGGCACAGAGGCCGTCGGTGGAGCTCCCTATAGGGCCACGAAACGCTGTACTGACTGGGTGTACGAAAAATGCCGAACTGTGTGTGTGGGACGCATGAGGACGGTCCCACTGGTGGTTTCGGTGGAGCTCCCTTTGGGGCCACGTTGTACTGGGTGTGTGAAAATGCAAAATTGGGCTTCTGCTGCGCACGCGGACGGTCCCACTGGGGCCTTGGGTGGAGCTCCCTATGGGGCCACGAACCGTTGTACTGGGTGGGTGGGAATGCCAAAGTATGGTTTCCGGGACGCATGCGGAGGGTCCCACTGGGGGCTTCGGTGGAGCTCCCTATGGGGCCACGAAGCGCTGTAATGGGTGGGTGGACATGCCAACTTGGGCTTCCAGGACGCATGCGGACGGTCCCACTGAAGGCTTCACTGGAGCTCCCTATGGGGCCACGAAGCGCTGTACTGGGTGGGTGGGAATGCCAAATTGGGGTTTCCAGGTCGCATGCGGGCGGTCCCACGGGGGGCTTCGCTGGAGCTCCCCATGGGGCCACGAAGCGCTGTACTGGGTGGGTGAAAATGCCAAATTGGGCTTCTGGGACGCATGCGGACGGTCCCACTGGTGGTTTGGGTGGAGCTCCCCATGGGGCCACGAAGCGTTGTACTGGGTGGGTGAAAATGCAAAACTGGGTTTCCGGGGCAAATGCGGACGGTCCAACTGGGGCCGTCGGTGGGGCTCCCTATGGGTGGGGCCATGAAACGCTGTACTGGGTGGGTGAAAATGGGGACGCATGCCGACGGTCCCACTGGGGGTTTCGGTGGAGCTCCCGAAAAGGCCACGAAACGCTGTAACGGGCGGGTGAAAATCCAAAACTGGGCTTCCGGGACGCATGCGGACGGTCCAACTGGGGCCGTCGGTGGGGCTCCCTATGGGGTCACGAAGCGCTCATGCGGACGGTAGCACTGGGACCTTCGGTGGGGCTCTATATGGGGCCACGTAATGTGTGAGGGGCGTGCGGAAACGGGTGATGATGATGATGATGATGATGATGATGATGATGATGATGATGATGATGATGATGATGATGATGATGATGATGATGATGATGATGATGATGGATGATGTGGTGGGGTGGTGGTGGTGGTGATGGTGATGGTGATGGTGATGGTGATGGTGATGGAGGAGGGAGGAGGAGGAGGAGGAGGAGGAGGAGGAGGAGGAGGAGGAGGAGGAGGAGAACGCGGGGACCGGTATTTCATAACGAGGACCCAACACCACAGGATGGTTGGGAAAAACGAGGACGGCAACTACGGGGCACGAATCGGAACCAGAAATTTCGCCTGTGCCGGGGCGAGAGCGTAAGTCTGAACGACAGGACCATGACGTCGATCCTGAAAGACTGCCGAGGCTGCAGCGGGAACACCATCTTCGAGGGACCGAATGCGGCCCGACTGGAACAACACGTCAGACAGACAACAAGTGCTGACCCCCTGTGCAAAAACCACATGCGGGAGGGGCGCATTCCCGCACTGCACGGCGGAGGAGGAGGAGGACAAGGCAGGGGGGGGAGGACGGGCAAGAGCAGGAGGGCGAGGGAGGAGGAGGCGGAAGACGACGAGGAGGAGGGAGGGGGAGCAGGATGACCAGGGTGGAAAGGAGGCAAGAGGAGCCCCTTCCCTCCAAAACATTATCCTGGCGAAGGTCCCCACCATATGCAGTTGTGGGTACCGTAATTGTGAATATCTGCTTCGGTGAAGCTCCCTATGGGGCCACGAAGCGCTGCACTGGGCGGGGGGGTACACTGTACTGTGTGGGTGGTGTGCCGAATTGGGTTTCCGGGACGCGTGCGGACGGTCCCACTGAGGGCTTCGGTGGAGCTCCCTATAGGGCCACGAAGCGCTCTACTGAGTGAGTGAAAATGCCAAATTGGGCTACCGGGACACATGCGGACGGTGGCACTGGGGCCTTGGGTGGAGCCCCCTATGGGGCCACGAAACGCTGCACTGCGCGGGTGAAAAAGCCAAATTACATTTCCCAGACGCATGCGGACGGTGGCACTGGGGCCTTGGGTGGAGCCCCTATGGGGCCACGAAACGCTGCACTGGGTGAGTGAAAATGCCAAATTGGACTTCCGGGACGCATGCGGACGGGGGCACTGGGGCCTTCGGTGGAGCTCCCTATGGGGCCACGAAACGCTGTACTGGGTGGGCGAAACGCAGGAAGGAGGGGGAGGATGGCCACGAAACGCTGTACTGGGTTTCCGGGGCGCATGCGGACGGTAGCACTGGGAACTTCGGTGGGGCTGCCTATGGGGCCACGAAGCGCTGTACTGGGTGTGCGGGACGCATGCGGACGGTAGCGCTGAGACCTTCGGTGGAGCTCCCTATGGGGCCACGAAGCGTCGTACTGGGTGGGTGAAACGCAGGGGGGAGGAGGAGGGGGGCCACGAAACGCTGTGCTGGGTGTGAGGAACGCATGCGGACGGTAGCACTGGGACCTTCGGTGGGGCTCCCTATGGGGCCACGAAGCGCTGTACTGGGTGTGCGGGACGCATGCGGACGGTAGCACTGGGACCTTCGGTGGGGCTCCCTATGGGGCCACGAAGCGCTGTACTGGGTGTGCGAGACGCACGCGGACGGTAGCACTGGGACCTTCGGTGGGGCTCCCTATGGGGCCACGAAACGGTGTACTGGGTGGGCGGGACGCATGCGGACGGTAGCACTGGGACCTTCGGTGGGCTCCCTATGGGGCCACGAAACGCTGTACTGGGTGTGCGGGACGCACGCGGACGGTAGCACTGGGACCTTCGGTGGGGCTCCCTATGGGGCCACGAAACGGTGTACTGGATGGGCGGGACGCATGCGGACGGTAGCACTGGGACCTTCGGTGGGGCTCCCTATGGGGCCACGAAACGCTGTACTGGGTGGGCGAAACGCAGGGAGGAGGGGGAGGAGGGCCACGAAACGCTGTACTGGGTGTGCGGGACGCATGCGGACGGTGGAGGAGGAGGGGGAAGAGGAGGAGAGAAGGAGAACGTGGGGACCGTCTCTTCAAAACGAGGACCCAACAAACACCGCAGGATGGTGTGGGAAAAAACCTCGAGATGTGCCTCCCCGGACTTCCGCCCCTCGGCCTTCCGCCCAGAGGGCGGCCGCCCCTGGAATCTGGAGGAGCAGGAAGCTGCACTGCGCTGTGCACCAGCCACACGCCGCCCGGCGCGCAGGCGGAGGCCGAACACGAGGAAACACCTCCGCACTGCATTCCTCGATGCGCTGCCTGACCTGGAGACGGAGCGCGCCGATTTCTTCGTATGGGAACCGGGCCCGCCGCGAGTCCTCGCGCCTTGATTGGAGGCCCCCTCGATGGGGTCCGCGTCGATGGGGTCAAAGGATCTCGCTGCATCGGCGACACATCGGCGATGAAGGCATCGGCGATGCATCGCCGACGCATCGGCCATGCACTGGCGACGCCGGCGTAGAGAACATCGGGCCCCACGTCGAGCCGCATCGCCGATGCATCGGCGGTGCATCGCCGATGCGTCGGCGGTGCGGCGCGATCCTCCGACCCCATCCACTCGGACCCAACCGAGGAGGCTTAGGCTGATCCATGTCTGGGCGTCCTCGACCCGAGGGACTCCAGGAGCGGCGCGTCCGAGAATGCAGGGGAGCCGGTCGTGGCCAGAGGCACGTGCGCGGACGGGGGAGGGCCAAGGAAGTGCACTAAAAGAAAACGACATATAATAATAAGAATAAGAAAAAAATAAGAGGGATAACAATGATAATAATAATGGGCTACGAGTACGAATAATAATAAACATAATAATAAGAAGAATAAGAACAATAACGACTAGACAAATAATCGTAATACTGAGAAGAAGAAAAATAAGAAGAATAATCAGAAGACGAAGAAGAAGAAGAGGCCGTGAAATCAGAGGGACATCGTGGCCCGGTGCCAGGAAACGCATTGAAAAAATAATAGGGGTCAGACAAGCGGGGAGATGTCACGGCCCCCGCCATGATGTCCACCCATACTGATCACTCTCCTCGTCCGGCTTTCGGGCAAAAGCCCGAGCCTCCTCCGACGAGCACCGACGAAAACCTTAGAAAAGCTCGAACCCCGAGCCTCCCCCACATACTCTAGCCCCGTATTCACCCGAATGGCGAGGCCCTCGTATCTCCGCGACCCACAAGGGTGTGGTTTGCAGAGGGTGCGGCTTGCAACCGGGACCCCCTTCTGCGGGGCGGGCGCGAGGATCTCGACGCAGCCCTCCGCCGCGCCTCGAGGAGGCCCGACGAGGACGGCGCCATGCTCCCTGGGCCCCAACATTGCCGATCGCAAACCACACCCCAACGTAACCATACCCTGTGCAGTCGCCGAATATCCCACGCGCCGCCCCCGCCGCAGCCGCAGCCCTGCCCCCGCCCCGCACGCCGCCGCGGGCCTGCCGCGCAGCTTGCGGCGTCCGAGGCCGCCGTGGTGGCCGCCTCCTCCGCGCCCGAGTCCTCTCGGGGGGGCGGCCGTGCCGCCCTCTGCGAGGGTTCCTGCTTGCCCTGTTCGCCCTGCCCCTCGCCCTCCTCGTCGTGATCCTCCGCCTCCTCCTCCTCTTGCTCGTCCTCCTGCTCCTCCTCCTGCTTTTCCTCCGCCTCCTCCTTCGCCTCCTCCTCCTCCTCCTCCTCCTCCTCCTCCTCCTCCTCCTCCTCCTCCTCCTCCTCCTCCTCCTCCTCCCCTCCTCCCCCTCCCCCTCCCCCTCCTCTCCTCTCCTCCTCCTCCTCCTCCTCCTCCTCCTCCTCCTCGTCCTCCTCGTCCTCGTCCTCGTCCTCGTCCTCGTCCTCCTCCTCCTCCTCCTCCTCCTCCTCCTCCTCTCTCCTCCTCCTCCTCCTCCTCCTCCTCCCTCCTCCCTCCTCCTCCTCCTCCTCCTCCTCCTCCTCCTCCTCCTCTAGTCCCTCTAATTCCTCTAGCTCCTAAAAAGCGTGGTCGGCTCGGCTAACCACACCCGCCTACTTCAAGCAGGATCCGCCCCGAAGTCGAGAGCCCGAGCCTCGCACCTCGGGGCACTGAAAAGGTTTTGGGGGCCAGCCCCCCCCCCCCCCCCCGAGAACCCCTCAGTCTTCGGGGGCGGCCGCCAAAAACCCACGTTCGGCCCCCTCGGGCATCGGACCAGGGGCCGAAAAACGCGCGAGCGGAAACGGCATATTTAAAACAAAAACGCCAGACTGGGGCTCCCGACCAGACAGAAGGCGCTCCAGAGTCGCCTTCCCCAGACAGACCGAATCCCTGGGCCGAGACGTCCAGGAGCGACACTGCCTGGCCAGGAGGTGGGCCTGCCGTCGAGCGTACGCTCCGCACAGCTTACAGAAGACGATCGACTCGCCCCTCCCAAGGGCCCGACCGTTCCCCCCCCCCCCCGCGTCCCAAACCCACCCCGAGCCGCCCACAGCCTATGGGAGGGGTGGGCGATCGCCGCGGGCCTAGGCACTCCTGGACACGGGCGGCGAACAATCCTCGATCGGAGCGCGTTCCTCGCCCCACACCTGCTGCAGCCCCAGGCCCTCCCAAGACACCCCAAGGCGTGCCCGTTGGGACCCGAGACCAGGGTGAGCACCTGGGGCGGGCAAGGCGGAGGGAGGGCCGACCGATCGGGCCAACCCGCGCCGGTGGCCTTTTTCAGCACCGCGCCGTGGTGGCGCAACAGCTGCGTCGCGGCAACAGCCGCCGAATTCACGCGCCTGGCGAGCTCGCCGACCTCCTCGAAGTCGGCGTGCAGCTGGGCCCCCATTTTGGCCCTCTTGTCGGCCTCGTGGTTGCCGATGTGCCAGTGGGCAATCGTGCCCGCGCGCTCCGCTGCGGCCCAGCTGGCGTGGGCTCTCGCCCAACGAAGCTCGAAGCGCTCGCCCATGTCGCGAACTCGGAACCAGACTTCACTCCAGAGCTGCGCGTACTTGCATTCGAGGCTCCTGCGCCAGCCTGGCCCCTCCCAAAAATCAGCCACCACATTCTAACAGTCCGTGACCACGCAAAGCCACGGGCCGCGTCGCGCAGCACCCGGGCCAGGGCGCAGAGCTCAGCGAAGCCAACCTCCTGCGCGATCCCAGGGGCGTCGCCCATCAGGCCGCCAACGATGCCCCCATCCTCCGTGACCATGATGCCTGCCCAGCCCGCCCTCGCGAGCTCGACGCACTGCGCGGAGAAGGCGGAGCCGTCGATGCAGACCGTGCCCGAGAAACCGTCGCGCCGAAGGACGCCCGCTCGAAGACGCAACTCGTTCTCAGCGTGGACGGGCGCCGCCTTCAGCCAATGCGGGACGAGGCACCTCGCGAAGCCCATGTCCGCGACGTCTGCTGCAGTTCACGCCTTGCGCACACCTTCCAGGCCCATGTCCCTCGCCACCATCGCCGCGCCATCGCGCGCGAAGGGCCCGTGGCGGTGCGAGCCCAAGTCAGCGCCGCACAATTGGCAGCCGGCCGAGGCGGCGGCACGCTCCGCGCACAGGCTGGTCTGGGAGACAAGCCCGCCGCACACCAAACTTTCGACCAACGCGACCTGCTCCGCGTCTCCCTGCGCCCTCGGCACATCTAGCGCCGCTCGCGCAGGGCGCGCAACGGGTGGCCCTGCAAGCTGCCCGTGGAAGTGCGCGGGCACCGTGCGCAGAAGGGATCTGCGCGCCCCTCGCTCGACCAGCGTTCTGACCATCTTCGGGCTGTGGGACTCCAGGTCGATCGACCCCCCTGTCAGTGATCCACGCGCCCCACGACCCTGGGGCCCACCCGACCCGACGCGGCCGGGGCTGAGGCGCACTGCGCCCGCAGGACCCGTGACCTGACACAAGTGGGCTGGCCGCGCAGCCTCGCAAACCCTGCGCGCGCTCTGGTCTCAGGCCTGAGCCGGGCGAAGACCGCCTTCGCCAGCGCCACCAACGCCAGGCAGTTCGCCGCGTAGGCGGGGTCTTGGCGCCAGCCAGGCCCAGGCCGGGCGGCGAACCGCAGCGTCCTGCACCCATTGCCGCAAACGCCTGCCACCGCCTTGCCATTGATGGCCCTGGCCTGGTGGGGCACCTTGGACGGGGCCCCCTTGACACGGGCGCCGCGGAGGATGGCGGCGAGGCCGCTGCACCTGAAGACAGCCCCACGCTTGGCCCCCGCTCGCCCCAGCTGCATGCACCGAGACGCCTCCGCCATCAGGCGCCCCAGCCTCCCTCGAAGCACTCCCCACGAGGCTTTGCCGCCGAGCGTGAAGTCGATCCCCAGGTTCTTGACCTCGCGGCGTAACCTGAAGTCCCACTTGCTGAGGCGGCGGGCCGTCCTCTTGCCAGCCTCAACGCCGCTGGACACGATCACACCCTTGGTGACCGAGATGATGAAGCCGTCCCCCCCCAGACCCTGGCATTGCCACCTGGTCGCGCCGAGGATGCCGAACTCCACGTCCCTCAGCCGACCGTAGACCGCCAAGGTGACGTCGCCCACGACCGCGCAGGCACGGACGTTCAGCCAGCTCTGCACGGGGAGACCCATAGCCGAAGGGGGCACAACCATCAGCAGGGTCGCGGCGAAAGCGCAGCCCGCGACGATCGAGGTCCCGGGCGAGATGGCCTCGGCCACCCACTTGTCCAGACAAAGTCTGCGCCGCCCGCCATACGAGCGGAGGGTGAGCTTCAAGCGCCGCGCGCGGGGCCCGTGCCTCCGAGCTGCCGCCGCTAACACTTCATGGCGCACTCGCTCGAACGACTTGGACAGGCCTGGCATCAACGTCATCGAGTGCTGCTCCATCGCTGCCGCCACGTCGGCGTCGAACGCCTGGAGCCAGAACGCGCCCTCACATGACTTACCCTCGCCGCCGAAGAAGAACCCCCCCGGGGCGCTGCCCCTTCCCAGTCCTAGGCTTCGTCGCGACGCATCATCCCCATCTGGCGGGCCAGGCTGCTGATGGGCCCGATGGGGCGCCAGCCCCCATCCACCTTCGCCCAGAAAAAGATGCGCGCCATGTCGAACTGCACCGGAATCCTGCACGTCGCCTCCAGCACCTGCAGCAACAGCCCCAACGCGACGAGGCCGTCGTCGCTCAGATGGCCGAAGGACTGGGGCTTGATGCAGTCGACCCCCGTGGCCGTGGACCCCTTAAAGGCATCTGCCGCCTTCCTGATGTCGTCGGGCGAAGGGGCTCGGCCAACCTCCTCCAGATCCCTGTCTGGGAGCGCCTCGTCGAGGTCCAGCGGCAGCACTTCGCCGTGGCACCAGACCTCCTGGTGCTCGCCCTCCAGCGCGTCGAGTGCGGCAGCGATCCCCGCTGGCCCCTTCGCCCCATCGAGGTCGGGCGCCCAGGCCAGCGGCGCCCTGCAGAAGCGATGCGCAGCCCCTGCGCCGTCCTGCACCGCCTCGCGCGCCCATTTGCGCCAGCTGACTCCGCTGCTTGCCGCAGCGGTCCTCGAGCTTCGCCGCGAGCCCACGAGCCTCCTGCTCGAGTGCCTCCAGCTGGATGTAGCTGAGATGGCTGAGCCGGTGGAGCTGGCGCCCCCACTTCCGAACCCCCTCCTTTGGCATCAGGTCGCCTCCCACGCCCCCAGCCGCCAGCGAGCCCACCGTGGCACGCAGGGCCTTCAGCTGCCCCAGCGCCGCGGGGATCGCCGCCATCGCGCGCGGTCTTCGGCGGCAGGCGAGCGTCTCCCACACGGCGGCAGCAATGCGTCGCCACCGAGCAGACACTGGGCAGCCCCTTGGGTGAGGACCCCTCCAGTCAGCGGCGCGTCCTTCTCCGCATACCGCGGCTCGGCCTCGCGCCCGACGTGAAGGTGGGAGCCCTCTGGCGCCGCGCGGTGCAGCCCGAGCGGGTCGGCCTCCATCAGCATGGCAAACTCCCCGCACAGCTGGTTCACCATGTCCTGCTGCCCCAGCTGCCAGCACTTCGCCTCAACAGCGGCCTTCCTTGCCGTAGTTGAAGCTTGCGGCGGCGCGGGGAAGGGGTTGTGACTGAATCCTGCCCCCCTTCCCCCGACGGGTGCCGGGCGGGCAACTCGGGCCCGTTGCTGGGCCCCGCGACCGAGTCCAGCCCCCTACCGCAGCCAGCCTTGCCACCACCTCCTTCGTCGCCTGCCTGCTGCCGCCGCGGCGCCGCGCTCGCGCCGCCGATCGCGCCCGCCCCCCTGGAGCGGTCGCGCGGTTGCCCCTGGCTTTGGGGGGGGGGGGGGGGGGGGGGCGCTCCCAGAGCTGCCCCCCCCCGCCCAGGCCGACGCGCCGCTGCCCCCGTCTCCTACGGCCCCGCCCGCGCTGCCCCTCCAACAGCGGCGCGCTCCCCCAGCCGATCGCCGACAGCGGTCCGAAGGCCCGCGGCAGCGCCGACGGCAGCCCGAGGGCCGCGCGCGGGGGGCCCACGGGCACCACAGGTGGCTCCGCTGCATGTCCTCCAGCGGCGGCCCCACCAGCGCCTTCTTCCGTGATCGAGGCGGGCCTGTCCCACTCGCCGCTCACCCCTTCGGGCGCGCCTGGGGGCAGGCTCCAGCAGAACACCTGCC